ATGCAGTGCAGAAATTGCTTAATATTATAGATGTTGTTTCGACAGAGGGCACGTGACGTGGGGATGATGTGGTGTAAATTATATTAGCGGTTTCAAGTCCGCAAGAAATTGCATCAGAATGAGTTGAGAACGTATATTCAATTACTTTTAAGTATTATTTTTAGAAGATATTTAAAATCTTAATTTTGGAATCCGTTTCGAATCAGACTAATTGTGAAACAATGAACCGATTATAATATTTTTTTTTTAAAAAATGTCGCAACGAAATCAAAGTGTAGGAGGGGACTGACACCCTTCATTAGTAAAGATTGGACGAACCAAAAGCAAAAGGTTCAAACTTAAGGCACTATTAAGCATCGAAATTTTAAAATAGTGATAGAATACTTTTGATATTTGTAGCTATATTTTATAGAATACAATTAAAATTTTTATAATTATTAAATTAATAAGATTATATTATATTTACAATAACTTATAAACAACTACAAAAAAAAAATATTTTCATTTAAAACTTGTGTTTTAATATTAATTTTATACTAATTTTATGTGTTTCATTATAACTGTTTTATATGCGGACAAGTGGACAAGGTCTTGAAGGCGACACTGACTATATTGAACCCTGATGTTTGTATATGTGAAACTTCATGAGAATATGCCATTGATGTGTGACATGTGTCTCTCTTACTGAAACAAACAGTTCCTCCAAACTCAGCCATTCATGTCTGATGAATGATTACTCTCCGACTACCATTTCATTTTTAAAACCAAATGAGATTAAAGAATAGTAAAAGGAAGAAAGACCTAACATGGTATTCTTTCTCTCTCTGACTTCATTATCGCAAGTATAGTCAAAGAAAACGGAGAATGGGTGATGATAGTTATCCATTTTTACAAGTCTTCAACAACTCCCTTGTTTTTTAGTGTAAAGAAACGATCGCATTCACTTATCCTTCTTGGTAATGTAAGAAAGAGGGGTCTCACGTGACTCGTACATTGAGTGAGAGGTTCACTTGTTTTCAATCTACCCTTATCTATAATTGGTTTCTCTACTTAAGGAAATGTATACACACAGACATTAATAAACCGTCCTAAAGAAAGTGTAAGAAACCACAACAATTGAAGTAATTGTTTCACGCGTTATCCTCTTGACTCATTTGTCAAATGTTACAATCATGCCCCCAAATACAACATCATAGACTTTTGTCATCAAGTTTTGTAATATTGCTTTAGGTAATTATATAAACTTTTTCTAAATAAAAATTCTTATACAACGAATCAAATTGATGATACATTGAGTACAATAATCATGTCCTCGAGTGAGATATTGCCTTGTAGTGAATAAAACAATATTAAATTGCAAGGAGGAAAATAATTACACCAAGAAAAATAAAAGAATGGCAGTATTAAATTGTATTAGGTGAAACCGGGATACACTTTATGAATTCCACCGTCCACATTTGATGCCATGAAGTATTTAAATGTTTAAATACTCCACAAAGAGATCTTTTGTGAGTGCTTAAAAGCTATATATTTTGTAAGTTTCAAAACAGTTATATAGAATATGATGAAAGTTATATTGACAATTTTTTTTTTTACAAACTTACAAGCTACACTAAGTTTGACTAGTCATACACTCTTGATTGATGTCTGATCAGTCAAATTTAATGTAGTTTATAAGTTTGTAAAAAAATAAATTTGTCAATATAATTCCTGTAGAATATAAAATGTATAATTAGGCGAATGACTCAGTTTTTGTGCTGTTTAAGACCTATGTGACAAAAACTCAAATCTACATTTGATGTTTCAATTAATATTAAAAAAAGGTTTGGTGTTTGTCATTTTAAATGACATAAATTATGTCATTTTAGATGAAAGATAGACACAGAAAAACGAAAATCATGGGAGAGAGAAAATATGTGATTTTTTTAATTTAAAATTCAAATTTTGTGTGTCTGTATCTCTCTTAAAATAACATAATTTTCTTTTATTTAAAATGACAAACACTTTTTTCGTTAAAAAAACATAAACGAAGTTAGTGAGACATGATACCTTTTTAATAATTTCATTATTCATATCATAATCATTTGTGTATGAAAAATAAAAATACGTAGAAAAAAGGTTTGACCATAAAATCTGGGAGTTTTAAAATTCAAATTACCATGCAACTGCAATCCCGATTTTATGCCGGATATATTGGAATGTTGACGAATTTAGGCATGCCCCACATTTATTTGGCATATAATGTATTTTGGACTGTTTGGTTTGATTTGTCATCACTCGTCAAAATCCAACGAATAAGAACGCGATAACGTCTTCCATGCCCCAATTTTAAACCATCAGAATGGCCATTGCGATATAACGCTCCCCTGCCATTTCTCATTATTATAGTTATATTCTAAAATTGTTTATAACTTTATATGTCGATGTTTCTGGTCCACATCTTAAACATATTAAAACTATAAAAAAAAAATATTTCTGCACTTAATACAGATAAGTTATCTGCATCTACTTCCCAAACGACGTCGTTTTGAGATTGAAATATTAAAAAATTATAATTATAAAGACTATAATAATCTTAAAATAAATTAAAATTACAAAAACACCATGACTTCCGTCCCAAAATGACGTTGTATTGGGCTATTGCAGATAACTTATCTGCGGTAACTGCATAAAGAGCGAATCCTAAAACTATCTAAAGTTTGTACAAAAAAAAAAGGAAAACATTTTCTCATGTTGTAGGAGAGTTGTTTTCTCCTACTACCGACCCTTCAATTTTCGTGCAATATTTTTTTTTTAATAGATGTGGGTCCCACATAAGATGCATCTATAGCATGAGAACATTTTCTCCTATCGCATGAGAAAATCGAAACCCTGATAGAAAATCGAAACCCAAAAAAAAAAAAAACTATCTAAAGTATGATGTAAACCAAATGACAATAGTTCAGTTGGTACATAAGAATTAAGTATGTGAGAATGAAAACATATGTTCAATTCTCTTCGGTATTATTTAAAAAAAAAAAAAAATTAAAATTTTAATCTTAAACCCACCTTGAATATAATTAGCTCCGGTGAATAATTCCTATACCTTATACCCATGAGTCCATGACTAGCTTTGAGAGCTTTGGAGCGGATTTCAGTTCAGAGCCCAAGTCCTTGGGTTGGGTGAGGGTCGACGTGACTTTCGAGCTACAAACTAACCTTAATTATACCCACGAAAATCCAAATAGGAGACAACTTTCTCTTCTCAAATTCTTCATGCGAGAGGGATTCCTCAATTTATTCATGGCCCATGAAAATCCATTAACGAGACCCATAATCAAATAGAATGGAAAAAAAACAAACAACACTCCATTTCCATTGTAATTAACTATTGTTGATTAAAGACTTATTTCATGTATACTGATTAATAACATAAATTGAGTAAGAAAACAAAATTTATATATGCGCGTAGATGTACAAAGAAGGGAAAAAAAAATCCTCCTACAAAATCATCAATGAAAAATTAATGAAAAATATATTTATCATTTTAAATTACATGATTTTATATAATTTTAAATGAAACCACCTTGTTTTAGTGATTTTTTACCTTCTCCCATCCATAATACTTTCTCTTTTTCTTTCCATTTAATTTTGTGAAAGAGAGAATATAAAAGAATATCAAATATGCACCAAAACAGGATCATTTCATTTAAAATGACAATTTAATATGACAAACACTTTTTCTAAAATTAATATATAAAAAATTCATTAAGAAAATGAGGATGTATCTTCTTTTGGCTTTTGCTCTTACAAGTAATACTGAATTTGTAACATTACTATTATTTAACATATTTCTACAATTAACTACTATACTACTGTACAAATTGTGTTTTCTATGGGTTAGGTTGGAGATATTTTAGGTAGAAAGATGTTGATTATGGGTTTATTTTTTGCAAATAACTATTTTTATTGTAGAATTTTTATACCCATTTTTTTGAGGGAATTTTTAAAAAATACGTGCCAAATTCTACAGCTGGGGTCACGTGAACATTCAAACTTTACCCACAATCAATGAAAAAGTGCACATGGATTGCTTAGCTAACCTATTATTGGTGGATGCACCCATACGCTTATTAGTAACTTGAAACTTTCCCCAAAAGTACACTTTCCCTCAAGTAAGGCGAAAAAACAATCCGGAATAATCTTTTTTCTCCTCTTTTGGTTTAATATCTAGAATCATATATGTAACTAAAAAATTAATCAATTTAAATTTAAAAAACACACACACACATATATGTAACATTAAACAATCATTTATTTAATTTTCAACAAAATTTTATTTTATTATTATTTTTTAAAAAGTTAATACACGTATAAATAAATTTAAAATATTTCCTTTTAAATTTTGTTATCTATTACATCTCTTCAATTTTTGTTATCATATGATATAATATTTTTTTGGGAAATATTTTTCTTATGTTGTAGGAAAGAAGTTACTTCATTTTGTAGAAATAAAATTATAAGTGAGACCCATAAATAAGAAAAAAGAGAAAAAAAGAGTGGTGAGATTTATCTTCTTTTTTGTGTGTGTAAAAAAATTATTTATCTCATATAAAATGAGATAAATATAATTTTTTTTATGACTTTTCTAATTTTGATACAAGCTTTTATTTTCTAAAAAGGACGACATGGCCTGGATAACACATCTACGAAAAAGCCGAAGCATGTTAAAATATTGTAAAATAGTAATATAAGTACTTCCATACACAATTGAATATTTCAGGACAAGTACACTTTTATAAGTTTAACCGACTTGTATTATAAAATATAAATATTTGGAACCAACCATCCAAGTGCTATTACCATTTTCAAATGAATAAGGTTATTTAAGTAACTTTCGGGAATACAATGTACACGTGTCAAAAACAAGGAGCGAGTATCATCATTAAGACAACGCGCTCCCAAGTTTCTTAATAAATAAAAAAACAACACAACACCAACTCTGCATCTTTCATAACACACTCTCTCTCTAGCTTTGAACTTTGAGATTCAGATACAAGAAAGAAAGATGAGAACAAGCAACCACTTGATTGGTGCACTTAACTTCTTAACCTTCTTGCTCTCAATTCCAATACTAGGTGGTGGGATATGGCTAAGCAGCAGAGCAAACAACACAGATTGTCTTCAGTTTCTTCAATGGCCATTGATCATAATCGGTGTAAGCATCATGGTCGTCTCTTTGGCTGGTTTTGCGGGCGCGTGTTACCGCAACACCTTCCTCATTCGACTTTACCTCGTTGTCATGTTCTTCATCATAGCTGTGCTTATTGGGTTCATAATCTTCGCCTACGTTGTCACGGACAAAGGGTCAGGCCGAACCGTAATGAACCGGGGTTACATGGACTATTACCTTGAGGACTACTCGGGGTGGCTTGAAGAGCGTGTAGCTAGTAATAGCTACTGGGGAAAGATTAGTTCATGTGTTAGGGACTCTAAAGTGTGTGCTACAATGGGAAGAACCGTTGGTGGGGTACCTGAAGCTTCTGATATGTTCTTCCGTAGAAAGCTTACACCGGTTCAGGTATGTCCCCCCAATAATCCTATAATGTATGATGTATACTAGTGAGTTATATCTTGAATAATCTGGATCAATTTCTGGGTGTCTTTATGCTAAATTCATTTAAAAAAAAAAAAGTTCTCTGAATGAAGGATGGTGTTTACTGTTTAGGAATTAGGATTTATTATGCAGATTTTTTATTTTTTTAGATTTTCCTAGCAATCATTGGTTAATTAATTAATTGTAATTTGGTCAAAACAGTTTTTCCCTTTAATCTCAAGTTGAGATTTAATCATGGATAAAGTTTTTTTTTTCTCCAAAAATATATTTTTGGTCAAAATCGAATTCAAATTTTCTTCACATTTAACATATCTGTGTTGCAAACTGAGCTATACCTGTTTGGGTAAGAAGGATAAAGGGCAGAGAACTGATTTTTTTTATTTAAATAAAACTGATTATTAATTTTACGAAATTTAAAACGACCCTAGATGGGTAGAGATGTGACTCCTCTGTGCAAGGAACTGTGTGGCATGTGGGGGTGATGGGTTTCCGCTAGTCAAGCCCCGAAAGACGTGGTTCCTTGTCCAATAGATTGCAAGCTGCAACCTATTTTAGGGAGGAATGATCAGTTTACAAATTTTTTTATAAATTTTTATAAATTATACTATGTACTTTCAGAGAAATATAGTACAACTTAGTGTTCTCCCGAAAAAACATAATATAATTTGTAAGAGTTTGTAAACAAAAAATTTATAAATATAACCCTCTCGTGTTAAATGAAACCAAATAAAGGAAAAAATAACATTGACAAGATGGCATCAAGTAATGGAGCAATGATAATTGATGAAACATTAGTTGGAATGGAAAGATGGCATCACTGCTAGATACCAAATGTGTCATCATCAATATTTGGCTTTGATTTTTACATATTTGTCTATAGTTCAGCTTCGCGTGAAAAAGAATGATATTGTGACAACGATATAAGATATCATGGAAAGATATAGAACAGGTTTATGAGGTATATGACAGATATGGGAGGACCATATGAGGCGGTGGCCACGTTGCTGATAAGTATTGATTTATGGGATTGAATTCATAAAACATAGTTATAATTGCAATTTGCAAATAATTATAATCTGTTACTTAACATAGAAGGGAATGGGTTAGTTCTAAGTAATTTTCATATTATATAACTTTTTAAAATTTGAATTGATATTTTGTGTTTTCGGTTTATGTGTGGGCTCCATTTACACCTTTTTGCAGTGGCAAACATTTTGTATGTATATAACCTAAGAGTTGTCACTTTATGCTTTTTACAAGCTGCCCCCAACGCACATAAGAATTTTCTGCCTGATACAAATAAAACTTTGAAGATTTGGGAGGTCTTCCTTTTTCCGTATGATTTATCTTTTAGGTGGAATATCCTTTCCCTTTTTTGTTTGCTAGTATAGTAACAGTATGTTATGGCTGGACGGACAAAATTGTTAAAGATGTATCATGTATGAATCCTGACCGTGATTTTTCCACACCCAATTGTTATTCAATAATGCAATTAGTACATTGTATTGTTAGATTTTAAATTTCTTTATTATATTCATTAGTTTAATATTAAAAAGAAGTTTTATAAGTGTCATCTTATTATATAATACTATAAGTAAATCTTATATATTATATCATAGGGTTCTATTTATATCATATTACATGAGATAATTATCTCATGTTAAATTATCTCATGCAACAGAAAAAAGATAGTGGGATCTATTATTTAAAAAAAAAGAAAAAGAAATAGTGGATCTCACTATTTTATTTCTGATGGATTAGATAATTATCTCAACAATTATTTCCCTATATAATATTATATAAGTGTCATAATAATATAAGACATATGGTCAATGGTGTTATGATTTATGATGGTACAACACAATGTTTTCACCTCTGAGCTCACATATTTTCATCTTCTAGAATGACTTGACAGTTTTCTTATCTTTTTATCTTTTCGTGTTTTGCTCCGATTAGTAGATCAAACACTTGGTCCGCACTCATTGTCATACATGCCCAAGCATTGTGATTGTGCCACTGCCACAAAACAAAGCAACTTTTGATTGCACGCCTAACATTTTTATAGGGGAAAGAAAAAGTACAATTATAGTTTAATAGCAACGAGACACAGAAGATAAAGACAACTACAAAATCATTATCTTTTGAATTACAACATTCATTTAAAACCATCAAGCATGTGATCAACCGGTAAGGGTTGATCCAATTTAATTAGTGGTCTTAGGGAGAGTTCTGTTGTTTATATGGTCCTATCTGACTCGAATCGGACTAGTCAATTAATCCACGAACTGATAGATAATATATTAAAAAAAATCATTTAACTATTTTCAAAAACTTAGAACCAGTGGCAGTTTCTTTGTTTTAAAACCCATATGTCATGTGATTTATTGAGGTAATTAATGTTCTTCTTTTTGTGTCTCTAGTCTGGTTGCTGCAAGCCCCCAACAGATTGTGGCTATGTTTATCAGAACGAGACAGTGTGGAACCTAGGATCAGGACTCATGGGATCCAACCTAGACTGTAATAGGTGGAGCAATGACCAACAACAGCTTTGCTATGCATGTGATTCTTGCAAGGCTGGTGTATTGGCTAGTCTCAAGAAGAGTTGGAGGAAGGTCTCTGTGATCAACATTATTGTTATGATCATCCTTGTAATTGTTTACATAATTGCTTATGCAGCATATAGGAACAACCGCAGAATTGATAATGATGAATCCTATGGTGAAGCGAGGATGACAAAGTCACAACCCAGCACCTTTCATTTTTAGCAGCACTATTTGGATGCCAAAGGGTTTCAGTGACATATCTTGGGATTTTGTGTAACTAGGTTGCTCTCATGGTTTTGTATCAAACACCCGTAACATGAATTTGGTTTTGGTTTTAATCTTGTAAGTTGAAAGGCTGGATGTATTTATTATATTTACTCAGTGAAACTTCTGTTTTTGCTTTGAAGAAGAAACTTATTTTGTAATTTGCTGGAATTAAGTATTGATAGTTTTGTAAATTTGGAGAAATATCTTACACTTAATCATAAGTGTGATATGGCTTCTGCCCTTTGGTATGGAGAGCAATGATACATACAATAGTATATTTCACAAATTCCTGCCATTGACTGAATTTAAAATTCAGCAAGAAAGCCGGTTTATGTAGTAAGAAAGAGCAAATTAAAAGTTTACTTATTGGCAACATGTAATGATTCTTTCTAAGGAGCTATTTGCAACTATAGTTGCAACAATGTAAATCTTTGAATGGTTTAAGTTATCTTCAATTTGGACATGTGGTACACTTGGACAATATTAAGGTATGTATGCAGAAAGCAGAAGAATCCAAGTGAAGCAAACCAGATTCAGTTGAGTTATAATCTTACAGGTTTGATATAATTTTTACCCTTTCATGTGGATAAATGTTAAGAGAATGTCAAATCTTTTAATTGGTTGATTTGAAATTCATGCCATAAAACGGTTCATCATTCTAGCTAGCCTTAATATAACATCCCTGCTTGAGGTAGAGCACCATTATCATTCAAAAATGACTGACAAACCCATTGAATTCTTCTAACTAATAAAACAATGTAAGTTGACAACGGAATATTCCTACTATTTTTATTTTTTAAATGAACATTCCTATTAACTAGACATCTAACCATGGTTAACTTATTATTGCCCTATTTAATTTGTAACTAGTTTTGTTCATTATTTAAAAAATTTTATCTTTTTTTTTTTTTTAGATGTTTCAATCAGTAGCTTCGCGACTAGTCCAATTCGGGACGAGTCCCGAGATTAAGGCTTTAAACTCCTCCCAAAGACGGTGCTGACTCTCATCCCCTGCGTAGTTCCTGGTGCCCAGTGATCTATCATCATTTGATAAAGTTTTTTTTTTAACTTGATGACAAATAAATACTACAATTGTGTTGTTGACAAGGCCAAGATGTGCGGTTACCGTTAACGGGTTCTGAGAATAGTTCCAGAAAAACCAACTCTCACTCACTCCTCTTGAGAGAACAGAGTGATATCATCTTCATCAGCACCAAGCTCAGGAATAAAGGCCTTCAGTGCAGCCTTTGTGCTTTTGTTCATTTCTTTTGTTTTAGATTTTGTACAGGTCACTACACTACTTTGTCAATTGGATTATGGAATTTTTAATATGATAAAGCTGTATTTATTATATGGAGCAAGGCATATGATTGCTGACATTGCTGCATGATATCTATCATAGGTACCCTGAGATTAATCCTTTAATGATTGATGAAGTTTTAAATTTAGTTTTAGTCCATCTCATATATCAGTTTAGGTTTATGCTTGAACATGATTTATTTGAATGTGCTCTACTCTGCACTTCAACATGAAAAGAACTGGTTCCCATTTATTGAGATTTTTTCAGCTAGGTGGTTTTTCAATTGTTTTGCCGGTGATTCTTTTTTTATGATGTTTTACCCTAGTCATAGATGCACTAGTCATTGCAACAAAAATTGGGTGGTAGGGTAATGAAAATTGTGCATAATGATGATAAACTTGTGAAATACCTTGGAAATGCTGTGATAGGATATGGGCTCCCTTTGGGCTCTTTCTCATTAAGTCATGCGGCCCAGCCCAAAGCTTTAGTTAGTTGTTAGTTAATAGTATCAGTATATATGTGGCACCTTTGTGTAAACACAGATCAATTAAGTTTTCAATACAAAGTATTATTCAGTTTACAATTCCTTTCCTTCTTTCTCATTATCTTTCATGGTATCATGAGCTGATGATCCATGGAGACCGAAAAGAGAAATTCCATTCAATCTTTTGCCAACCCAGTTTCGTTCAAGCTTGATGAAAACAACCTCTTGCCATGGAAGCAGCAAACATTGGCCACGATCAAAGGTTATAACCTGATCAGATTCATTGAGCAAGAAACTCAAGTTCTCACTGCCACAACATCGCATGCAGCACCTCAAGACACTCAAGATGACTCAGAAAAGACGCATGCAGAAGCAGGCAAGACAAGCAAAACTGCAAAGAAAGCAAAAAGTGACCAAGATTCCATTGATACACAACAAGATCAACTTCTCCTCTCCTGGCTCCTCTCTTCTATGTCTGAAACCATCTATACACGCATGGTAGGTTGCTCCAATTCATTCCAGGTTTGGCAGAAACTTGAAGAGTTCTTTGCTTCTCAAACAAGAGCAAAGATCAAGCAGCTGAAAATCCAGCTAAAGAACATCAAGAAAGATACCAATGTATCTCAGTACCTGTTGCAAATCAAAAAAATTGTTGATTCCTTGGTTGCATCAGGTTTTCCCATTAGCTCCGAAGATCATATTGATGCCATTCTTGATGGCCTCAACGAAGACTATGACTCTTTTGTCACATCTGTAATCTCCAGAACCGATCCTTACACAGTTGGGGAAATAGAAGCCTTGCTCATGGCTCAAGAACAACGTTTTGACAAACACAAAAAGACAACAGAAACTATGGCCATGCAAGCTAATCTCACTCAGAGGTTTGATCAACCCCCTTTCAGAAGACAGAATTCCAACTTTTCCAATCCCAATAGAGGTAATTTTATTTTCACCAGAGGCAGAAACACCACCTACAGAGGAGGAAGATTTCAAAGAGGAGGTGGCAGAAGCAATGGCAACAGACTCCAATGTCAAGTTTGTGGCAAACTTGGTCATATGGCATGGGAATGCTATCACAGGTTCAACCAAAATTTTCAAAGTCCCTATCATCAACCTACCAGCAACACTGCTTCTTCTTCTGTTTCTGCAACCCCTCCACAAATGAACATGTCATTCAGAAACTCCATTCCTCGATCCTCCTCTCAATCTTTGGATGCAGCAAGTGACTACCTCTCCACCACTGATTCCAGTTGGTATCCAGATTCAGGAGCCACTCATCATTTCACTCCTGACTCCAGCCTCCTGACACAAAAAGCACCATATTATGGCCAAGAAACAGTTCAAATTGGCAATGGTACAAATCTTAAAATTGCTAATACAGGACAATCTGTTTTACAATCTTTTTCATCTCCTTTATCTTTCACTCTCACTGACATTTTGCATGTTCCAGGTCTTTCAAAGAATTTGTTAAGTGTTTCCCAATTTGCTAGACAACATAATGTTCTTTTTGAATTTGATGCTAATGCCTGCTACATTAAATCTCAGGTTACCAAGGAGATCCTTCTCCAAGGGACACTTAGGAATGGCCTCTATGTCTTTGATGGAGCACCAAGATCAATTACCAGCACTCCTTTATCTTTTAGTTCAATACTGTCTCCTTCTGTATCTGTTAACACTTGCAATTCGATTTCTTGTAACACTGTTTCTACAGAAAATACTTTACAATTGTGGCATTCAAGACTTGCTCATGCTTCTTTTCCTACTGTCACCAAAGTTCTTAGACTATGCAATATTCCCTTTGTTAATAAAAACAAACAAAGCTTGTGTTGTGCTTGTTGTATGTCCAAGATGCATCAGTTACATTTACCTGCTTCTGACACTATATACAGTTTTCCATTAGAACTCATTCTAACTGATATCTGGGGACCAGCACCTGTTGATAGTCACACTGGATCCAAATACTACATTATTTTTGTTGATGCTTTTTCCAATTACACTTGGTTTTATCCCATGACAGCAAAGTCCCAAGCCTTTGATATCTTTCTCTCCTTTAAGTCTATGGTTGAGCTCCAATTGAACACCAAAATTAAAGCATTGCAAACTGACAATGCAAAGGAATTCCTCAAATTTACAAACTATCTCCAAACTCAAGGCATCATCCATAGGCTCACTTGTCCATACACACACCAACAGAATGGGAAACCTGAGAGAAAGCATAGGCATATTGTTGAGTGTGGCTTGGCTCTTTTAGCTAGTTCCCATCTTCCAAGAAAATTCTGGGACACTGCCTTCCACACAGCAGCCTATGTGATAAATCAATTACCTACACCTACACTCCAAAATAAATCCCCTTATGAGGTACTTTTCCATAAATTTCCAGACTATTCTTTTCTTAAAACCTATGGATGTGCCTGTTACCCCTATCTTCGACCCTACAACAAGAACAAAATTGATTTTCGATCTATTCAATGCATCTTTCTTGGATACAGTCCAAGACATAAAGGATACAAATGTCTTACTCCTAATAACCAAGTCATTCTAGCTAGGCATGTTCTTTTTGATGAAGCACTTTTTCCATACAAAAACACTTTATCCTCCAATACTGATTCCAGTTTTAGCCCACCTACACCACCTCCTGCTATTCCTATTTTACCTCATCCTCCAACTTCTGGTAATAACAGCCCTACTCCTCATATACCTGCTTTTACTGATATTTCTCTTCCTAGTTCTCCTACTGTTGCTTGCAGGTTCCCCACTTCCATTACTACTGATCTCAGGACTTCTTCTTCTCACATTGAGACACCAATGCAGAATGCACATTCTATGATCACTCGAAGCAAGGCAGGAATCCATAAACCTAAGGTTCTGCTTACATCTGTTGAACCTGGTAGTGTATCTCAGGCACTTACTCAGCCTCACTGGCTCAAGGCTATGCAAGAAGAACATCAAGCATTGCTCACCAACAACACATGGACACTTGTCCCTCTACCTCCAGGAAGAAGTCCAATTGGCTGCAAATGGGTTTATCGCACCAAGTACAAGCCAGATGGCACTATTCTTAAACACAAAGCCCGCCTAGTTGCCAAAGGATATCACCAACAAGAAGGGTTCGATTACCAGGAGACATTTAGCCTTGTTGTCAAAGCTGCCACCATTAAAGTTGTTCTTACTCTTGCCCTTTCACGACAGTGGCCAGTTCACCAACTTGACATCAATAATGCTTTTTTAAATGGTGATCTTGCAGAAGAGGTTTTCATGAAACAACCTCCAGGCTTTCTCCATCAAGATAAATCTCTAGTCTGTCATCTTCATAAGGCAATTTATGGCCTCAAGCAGGCCCCACGGGCATGGTTTGATAAGCTGTCCACTACCCTTTATGATCTT